GATTCTGGCCAGCAGGATCCGAGTGTGTTGTGGCTGCTGTGAACAAATACACACAGACTACAGAAATCCTGTGGAGAAAAGGGACCACACGGCCACTCTCTAAGTGAGAAAGAGAGCCCAAAACCCCTCCTGGACAGGCTTTTATTGCTTTTCTGGGTACATTACATTGGGGATGATCCTCACTTACTCTGCACAGGTTGGCTACAGGTGATTACCTTTTACCAACAACAAAGAAAAGAATGTTGCTAATTACTTCAAAGAGAAGGATGTTGCAGACCAAGGAGAAAAGTGATTGAACCAGTTACACTCTATACTTGGGAGGTTTAGCATAGACTACCGGAAGTTAGAGTAAGCACTTTCTGCATCAATTCAGGGTGAGGGAGTTTTAGCAAAAGCAAGCCTCATAGTGGCCTAGGTACAATGCAGGCCTAATTTCCCATGGGAAAACCTCTCTGTGGGCATGGTCCTGTGTGCTGCCTCACTCCCCACTGGTTTTCCACTTGGAGGCTGAGCTATATTCCCATGCCATGTGGAATGGCTCCCTATAATTATCTCTTCCATTTTTAAGCAGTCTTTTAGTCTTCTTACACCCTGTGTAGGCACTCACATAAGTACATTAAACATGGTAGGCACTCCGAAATTATTTGATCAATTAATTTTTGAGGATATAATAATAACGAGCACAAGAAAAACAGCTTGTTTTCCTGTCATATATGCAAAAAAGTCTGTATCGGCCATGGATATAGTACCTTACCATTAGATCATAGTGCCAACCTGAAAGTAAACCTTTTAGAACTGTCCCTTAGGTTGTAGTTCCCAGAAACTTACCCTCACAACACTGAAGAATGAAAGTAAAAATTTAAATGCCTCTTAGATTCTGAAAATAATTAGTTCACTGGTCTGAATCAATTAACCATGACTTACAATATCATTTTATAATGCCAGTAGGTAACTTTTCAGACGAATTATTTCTCTAATGTTTGGTATATTAAAAAAGTGATATGAATATTTAATGTGAATTTGCTCTCCGTTAGAGGCAGTATTTAAGTAGTATCTATTTTATGCCTAAGAAAAACAGGGTTTTTTCATCTTTATATCTTTATTTATTTTTTAATTTAATCATTGTTCAAGTACAATTTTCAGTTTTTTACTGCCATCCCAGCCCATCCCCCCCCAGTATTAAGGAATTTTCATTTGTTTTTTTAAATTTATTTAATTTTTGTTCAAGTGCAGTTTTCTGATTTCTACTCCCATCCCAGCCCACCACCCCAGTGCTCCCCACCTCCCTCCCATTTCCACCCCCTTAGATGTTGTCCATGTGTACTTTAGGAACTTTTATTTGTTCACATAGGCTTCTTTCAAAGTTCAGTGTTCCACAAAAACAAAAGGCAATGAATGATATTGTTGAAATTAATGTTGGAAAAATACATAATTTTACCAACACATGGGTACATAATTAGAATAGTATCACATCACCAAAGGTACAGAGAGAATGACAAAAATTAATAAAGGGAGAACCTTGACTAAATTTTTTGTAGGGGAAATATCTTTACTACAACATTTTGATTAGTGTGCATACTGAAAGTAAGATTATAATTTAAAATTCAGTCTGTTGCAATCATACTTACATATAAAACAAATACTCTCGAGGAACAGCAACTGCTTTTCCAAACTGTGGAGTAATGAATACATGATTTTCTGAATGATGAATTAATTGAAACCACAACTTTTTTTGGTTTGCTAATATTTTTTTATTTAATTGTTGTTCAAGTACAGTTTTCTGTCTTTTACTCCCATCCCAGCCCACCCCCTTCAGTGGTCCCCACCTCCCTCCCATTTCCACCCCCCTTAGTTGTTGTCCATGTATCCTTTATACTAGTTGCTGTAAATCCTCCCCCCTTTCCCCTGAAATTCCCTCCCCTCTCCCTTCTGGTCACTGTCTGCCTGTTCTCTATTTCAGTGTCTTTGATTATATTTTGCTTGCTTGTTTGTTTTGTTGTTTAGGTTTCTGTAAAAGGTGAGATCATATGGTATTTGTCTTTTACCGCCTGGCTTATTTCACTCAGCATAATGCTTTCCAGTTCCATCCAAGCTGTTGCAAAGGGTAGGAGCTCCTTCTTTCTTTCTGCTGCATAGCATTCCATTATGTATATGTGCCATAATTTTTTGATCCATTCATTTATTTATGGGCACCCATGTTTCTTCCAGCACTTGGCTATTGTAAATTGTGCTGCTATGAACATTGGGGTGCATAGGTTCTTTTGGATTGGTGGTTTAAGGTTCTTAGGATGTAATCTTAGCAGTGGAATTGCTGGGTCAAAAGGCAGGTCCATTTTTAGTTTTCTTAGAAAATTCCATACTGTTTTCCATAATGGTTGTACCAGTCTGCAAACCCAACAACAATGGATTAGGGTCCCCTTTTGTCCACAACCTCTCCAACACTTGTTGTTTGTTGCTTTGTTTATGATGGCCATTCTGATCAGAAACCACAACTTTTTTAATGAGTGTTTTTTAAAGAAAATATAAATGATTAAAACCCATAATTAATAAATAATTTTTCATATGATTTTCTATTTTCTCATATTTATATATGCCAAGTAGTCTGAATATTCAAGAGAGTATCTATACTCTAATTAGTTAACCAACATTTTGTAAATAAGTGTCCTTCATATGAAAAACAGAAACAAAGTTTAATTCATATTTTTCTCTTCATTGTGCCATTATCCCAGAATTTCAGGCAGGACAATATGTTATTTCATGAGTCATTGATAAGCCTCTATATGCACTTTAATTTTTGGAATATACCTTTTTGGTACTTTTAACTTGGATGCTGCTTACTTTTACATTATTTTCTTTCTCTTCATTTTTAAAAGCCTTCAGCCAAGAAGGGACTAGAATATCACCTGTGTTTCTCATTTTTTCTGAAAAAGTTCTGGTATTTGATTTCATTCTTTTTGAAGTGCCTAGGATAAGTTATAAACCTCAGCTTTGGTAAGGAAACTTCTCCATCTAGGGAGGGCAGGCAAGAAAGAAGTAGAAGATTTTATAACCATCATATTGATAGAATGTCAACATGTTGAAGAAACTAAGCATTTGAGGGAATGTGAATCAACTGGATCTCTTATACATTATTGGCAGGAGTTCACATGTGTACAACTACTTATAAAAATAAGCTGGCATTTTGATCCATTCATTTACTGACGGGCACCTAGGTTGCTTCCAGCTCTTTGCTATTGTAAATTGTGCTGCTATGAACATTGTGGTGCATAGGTTCTACTACCCTTTGCAACAACACGGATGGAACTGGAAAGCATTATGCTGAGTGAAATAGGCCAGGGGTTGAAAGACAAATACCATATGATCTCACCTTTAACAGGAAGCTAAACAACAAAACAGGCAAGCAAGCAAAATAAAAACAAATACACTGAAATAGAGAACTGGGGGACAGTGACCAGAGGCAAGAGGGGAGGGAATTTAAGGGAAAAAAAGGGGGAGGGATTTAGAGGAACAAGTATAAAGGACACAGGGACAATAACTAAGGGAGGTAGAAATGGGAGGGAAGTGGGGTGCATGGGGGAGGGGTGGGCTGGAATGGGAGAAATAAACAGAAAACTGTACTTGAAAAATAACTAAATAAAAATTTTAAAAAATAAGCTGGCATTATCTCCATAAAATTTAATATTCACAATGTATACATTGTAGTGTTTTGATTATTATTTGATTGAGTATATTAAAGGGGCCATGTTTGTCAAGATAATAATGGTGATTCACATACCAAAATTTGTCATTAATGCAGTGTTTTGCACTTGAGGCCAGACTATTCTTAGGATTCCAGGATGGCTGAACACATGGGTGGGCATCACTTGCTAAGGCAGCATACCAGGCTAAGGGAAAACTAGAAGGAGTGCAGAGAAATGCTGTTTTGATAAGATTACTATACATTTAGAGTAGTGCTTGGTTCATAGAATTTTATCAATGACTTTATGAAGCAAAAAAAAATGAAGAAAAAACTAATGATGATTATTTGCCAGTGGCTACTTAAGGTATCAGATTTTTAAAAAATATTTTATTTATTTATCTTTAGAGGGGAAGGGAAGGAGAGAGGGAGAGAAACATCAATGTATGGTTACCTTTCCTGTGTCCCCTGCTGGGAACTGGCCTGCAGGGAACTGGTCTGCAACCCAGGCATGTGCGCTGACTGGGAATCGAACTGCGATTGTCTGGTTCGCAGGCCGGCACTCAATCCACTGAGCTACACCAGCCAGGGCAAGGTATCAGATTTTTAATCAAAGCCAAATGAAAACAGTTGTGGGGAGCACATCAAATGAATAGGTTTCTATTTGGTACAATGCATGTGGGAGAATGTAAGTTTCTTCCAGATGCATAAGAAAAATGTGTCTGTCTTTTATACAGTTCAAGGGTAATGAGCTACAAATTCTCATCAGAAAACTTTAGGCAAGTGTAAATAGTTGTATGTAATATTTAAGCCAACATAAACAATTAAGTATAAAGCAACTTGGCTTTTCTAAGGGAAAATTACAAGAGTAGCAGAAAAAAGTAGAATTATTAACTAAAAATCCAAGTTTTTATGAAGTTTCTCACAAATAGTAATTTTAAAGAGAAAGACAGATGCCATTAACAAAGGGTGAGATATTTTGTTGTGATACCAGCTATTATTTATTATGCATCTAATAATGTCAGGTATTGGACTGGACTCTGCAAATTATTTATTTTAATTCTCACAACAGTCAACTGTTAATGAAATAGTTATTATTGATTCAATTTAATATAGTGAGAGTAACAGAGCCTGAATTCTGAACACAAATCTACCTGATTCTAAACTCACATTGCTTTCCCTGAAGCTGCCCCATGTATGCAGTAACAATGCTGAGTGAATGAAGCAATGGATCCTGAGACGTTTCAGGTCCCCCATCCACCTCCTCCTTGAAGCTGGTTCTTTTACACAGAATGCAGGGCCCAAAACCTAGCTTTGCTGTCTACAGCACTGGCATAGGACCCATTTGTTTCCTCCTTGACCAACTGGGTATTTGGCGATAGAAAAGCAAATTCCTCCTAAATCTGGGAAAGTCATGTTGTGGACTACTCCTGCATGCAGGTGAATACAAATGTTCTTGCTCCTGTGGCCCTGCCTAAGAAAAGTGACAAGAGTTAAAATATAAATCAAGAAGCTGAGTACCTTCTATTACTAGATAAGGGTGACTATGTTCATATCAAGTTAATAGCAGGTACACAGAAAATAGTGTCATCATTACTACATCATCATCACCACCATTAGTAGCTGTGTAGCTCTTAGCAACTTACATTAACCCCTCTTAAACTCAATGTCCTAGCACAAACACTAAGGTTGACTCTAAGATTGACCTAAGATCTTAGCTCAATGACCAAAGATTTCCATGGTGATTACATTACAAAATAAATTCACTTAAGTTCCCTGGAAAATTGCTCATTGTTAGTAAGACAGGAGAGGCAAGTTTTCTTTTTGATATGATGCAATGAGATTATAATTATCTTGCAGCTGTTGAGATGAAGAGAAGTCAAGATTTTATAAAGAATTGTTTAATGAAAAGTAGAAGTAACAAAATAGGAGCTGTAATAGATGTTTGATCATGAATGAGGGCTAAAAGGAAATTTAGAACTGAGAGTATTTCTTTCCTCTGTATTGTACTTTATACACAAAATGCTTATAAACACTGCTACAAGGTATTTCACCTTACATTTTGTGTGGTTAGGCATGGGAATGGAAACTGAATTCCTTTCAAGGAAATATTCTTAGTCAATACCTTTCATAGTTTTTTAAGTAAATTCCAGGTGCTAAGACATTTCTACTAGCTTTCTACTTAGTCCTATTGGAACTTCAAAATTTTGCTTTTTTTTTTCCAGAAATGCATGCTTCTGTACATTTAAATCTATAAATGTACTAAGGCAACTACATCAGTCTATTGGATTCTGCCAGTCATATTAAACTATTAATCTTTGAAAACTTGTGACTAAAAGGGAAGAAATAGGAAGAGGAAAAGTAAAAACACATATGGAATCACTTGAGAAATGTGCTGAAATAGTAATTGGCAGACACCTCTAACTAAGTGTATGTTTAAAATTAAGGCCAAATTTGAAAGCAGGTTATTTCTTTGAAAATGGGCTCAATAATTTCAAGGAGCAGAAGCAAATACAATGCAAACAAACCTCTACTCATTTTCTGGGTCTGTGTGTATTGTATGTTTAATTATTGTTCTGGCAAATTAAGTGCATAACAGGGGCCAGGTATAAGACAGGAGAAATAAAACAAAGATGCTAACTTGCTCTGAGATATGAAGACCTTGAGCAATGCAAACTTGTTTTTAAAAAGGCAGTGGAGAGGCTTCATTTTTGCAGTTGAAGAAAGTCGAGACTGCCTAAGGAAGAGTGAGTTTAAAAATAAAGAGACCTGGCTAGCGTAGCTCAGTGGATTGAGTGTGGGCTGTGAGTCAAAGGGTCGCTGATTTGATTCCCAGTCAGGGCACATGCCTGGTTTGAGGGCTAGGTCCCTAAAAGGGGACATGCAAAAAGCAATCACACATTGATAATTTTCTCCCTCTTTCTCCTTCCCTTCCCCTCTTTCTAAAAATAAATAAAAATAAATAAATAAATAAAATCTTTAAAAAAAGAAAAGCTGAATTGAGACCAACAAGATGGTGCATATTCCCTTTTTGCCTGATGAGTCATGAAAGTTTTCTAGGATAGAAGTATAGTAGAGAGAGATTCTGCAGTAATAGAGTTTCAGGGAAAATGACTGGGTTTTATAACAAAGTTATAGATTACTTTCTCTTCTGAATGTACAATTAAATGACTGATTAAATGGAAGGCTTCACTGATTTTCTCAAGCAAACCTACTTACAGAATTTCAGAAATAGGGAGTGGATTCTCAGATGAGGAATATGAACCTACTCATTCCCCAAACCATGCATTAAGAACAAGTTGAGAAGGAACAACAAAATAGCCTGACAGTTCAATACTATATAGAAATTCATAATTTAAGGGCAAAGGCTATTTGTTTTAATAGCTCCAAATAGGGATTTAACAGCATCTATAACCATCCATTTTTGAAATGCAGAGTCATGAAATGTTATATTCCCAGGTCCTTTAGGTTAATAAACCTATAGATTAAAAAGTTGCAAATACAATCCTTGTACAACTTTAAAAGTGATTATTTGTAATATGTTTTTTACCATTACGCAATGTTGTCTTATTATATTATATAACACTGTATCAGCTATTTCATATACTATTTTAAGGGAACAGTGAATATTTTTTAATATCTTTAATTCTGATTTTGCTTGAGCAGGTCCCTCAATGAATATTTATTTGGTACATTATTTTTATTATGAAAAGTAAAACAAATGTCTTCTTTTGTTAAATAAAGTAGTTCTATAAATATTTTATTGACATTTATTTCTATTCATGTGAAATAAACATCTTAAATGCCATTTATTGGTGGTTAATTTGTAAGTGTTGTTAAATTTCATTTACAAATTATCTGAGGAATTTGTTTTTTAAAGGAAAGCCTCATGATCAGGGTATAGATCAACACCTCTGTTGGACTCCCAGCCTTTTTCTGCCAGGATATAAATAATCCTTCCTGTTTTTTTCAAGTAACATTTTCCATCCAAAATCTAGGAGGCAAGTGCTTGGAAAATACAGGGAGGAGGCCACAATGACAACTGTCATCAAGATTAATTTCTTTAGGATAGAAGATTGACCAGCTGATTGCAATCAATGCATTTAGGACTCTCTCATAACAATGAAACTGTTACATTAAAGCCCCTCAAAGGAGAACAAAGTAGTGTGTTAAACTTTAAAGATTTTGAATTGAAAGATATTTTCTTATGTCATTTCTTCTTCTAAACAACACAATTAGTGTTTGAGCCATGTGTTGTTCACAGATTATAATGTTGCAATAATAAAATACAAGAAAAAATAAAATTTTATAAACTAAAAAAATGTACATCCAAAAGATAACAATAATGATAAAACGACTGAGATTTTTTTATTTTAATTTTGTAATTAACTTCATATAATGTTACTCTGTAAAATTTTTTGAATAATAAGTAGATTCATATATGGTCAACATATTTTATAATCTTCCTGTCTTTGAGTTTGAAGGGCTATTACAGGTTAAGCTCAAGCCAAGAGACAAGAATGTTTCTAGAAATCCATAATTCTCAAAATTGAGACTCGAAGTAACTGCTATATATCTCTTTTTAAAAAATATTTTATTTAATTATTTTTAGACAAAGGGGAAGATAGGGAGAAAGAAAGAGAAAGAAACATCAATGTGTGGTTGCTTCTCGCATACCCTCTACTGTGGACTTTTTAATTTAATACTGTTTTCTTTAGCCACGCAGAAGCTTTTTATTTTGATGAGATCCCATTTGTTTATTCTTTCCTTTATGTCCCTTGATCTAGGGGACATATCAGTAAAAATGTTGCTGCATGAAATATCTGAGATTTTCCTGCCAATGTTCTCCTCTAGGACTTTAATGGTGTCACAGCTCATATTTAAGTCTTTTATCCACCTTGAATTTATTTTGGTGTATGGTTTAAGTTGGCATTCAAGTTTCATTTTTGCACGTAGCCGTCAGTTCTCCCAACACCATCTGTTGAAGAGGCTATTTTACTCCATTTTATGTTACTATCCCCTTTGTTGAATATTGACTCTAGAGAGTTGGGTTGATTTCTGGGCTCTCTGTTCTGTTCCATTGGTCTGTGTGCCTCTTTTTATGCCAGTACCAGGCTATTTTGATTACACTGGCCTCGTAATACAGTTTGATATCAAGTATTGGGATCCCTCCTACTTTCTTATTCTTTCTAAAAATTGCAGCTGCTATTCGGGCTCATTTATGGTTCCATATAAATTTTTGAAATGTTTAACCTATGTCTGTGAAATATGCCATTGGTACTTTAATACGCATTGCATTGAATCTGTAAATTGCTTTGGGTAGTATGGACATTTTGATGATGTCAATCCTTCCAATCTATGAACACGGTATATGTTTCCATTTTTGTGTCTTCCTTGATTTCTTTCTTCAGTGTTGTATAGTTTTCTGCATACAGGTCTTTTACCTCCTTGGTTAGGTTTATTCCCAGATATTTTATTTTACTTTTTGCTATATCAAATGGAATTGTTTTCTTGATTTCTGCTTCTGCAGCTTCATTGTTAGCATATAAAAATGTCTTTGATTTCTGGATGTTGACTTTGTAACCCGCTGTTTTGCCAAATTCATTTATTAAGTCGAGCAGTTTTTGGGTGGAGTCTATAGGATTTTCCATGTACAGTATCATGTCATCTGAAAACAATAATATTTTTTCTCCTTTTTGATTTAAATGCTTTTTATTTCCATTTTTTGTCTGATCACTGTGGCTAGGACTTCCAAGACTATATTAAATATAATTGGTGAAAGTGGACAACCTTGTCTTGTTCCTGATCTTAGTGGAAAAGATTTTAGTTTTTCCCATTGAGTATGATGTTGGCTGTAGGTCTCTCATATATGGCCTTTATTATGATGAGGAATGCTCCATCTATTCCCACTTTGCTGAGTGTTTTTATCATAAAAGGGTGTTGTACCTTATCAAAAGCTCTTTCTGCATCTATTGATATGATCACGTGATTTTTGTCTTTGCTTTTGCTTACGTGATGCATTACATTTCCTGTTTTGTGAATATTGAACCATCCTTGCATCCCTGGGGTGAATCCCACTTGTTCATGGTGTATGATCTTTTTAATATATTGTTGGATGTGGTTTGCCAATATTGTGTTGAGGATTTCAGCATCTAGGTTCATCAGTGATATTGGCTGAAGTTTTCTTTGTTGTGTCTCTATCCGGTTTTGGAATTAGGATGATGCTGGCTTCATAAAAAGAGTTTGGGAATCTTTCATCATTTTGGATTTTTTGTAATAGTCTGTGAAGAATATGGGTTAGCTGTTCCTTATATGCTTTGCAGAAGTCTCCTGTGAAACCATCTTGTACAAGGCTTTTGTGTTTCAGGAGTTTTTTTATTACTACTTCAATTTCATCTGCTGTTTTTGGTCTTTTTAGACTTTCTGCTTCTTCTTCATTGAGTTTTGGAAGG